TATGGGAGAGCAGAGGAAATCACACATGTATGAAAGTGGGCACACATAAAAAGATTCTGGGAAAAAATAGGGCTTCTAAAAAGAAATATGATGCAGAAAATAAAAGGGGCTAGCATTAGTGTAGCAGAGTCTCAGAAGATGTTGAGCCAATGTCTCTCCCTAATGCCAGCAGATGCCAGCAGCACCATGTCCTTCTTGTTTGTAAAGATAAATAATATCTTCGCCTTTTTCAGATGTCTATAACACAAGTGAAAGACTTGTATGGCAAGGACTTCAAGTCTTTGAAGAAAGAAACTGAAGATATGAGATGGTGGAAAGATCTCTCATGCCAGTGTATCCACAGGACTAACAAAGTAAAAAAAAAAAAGTCATTTTACCAAAAGCAATCTACAGATTCAACACAACCCTCAAATAAATCTCAATACAATTATTTACAGACCTTGAAGAAACAATATTCAACTTCATATGGAAAAACAACAAAAAACCCATAATAGCTAAAATAATGCTGTACAATAAAGGAACTTCTGACTTCTGGAGACATCACCATCCCTGATTTCAAGCTCTACTACACATGACATTGGCATAAAAACAGATGGATAAACAAAATTGAATTGAAGACCCAAATATAAATCCACATGCCTATGGACACCTGATTTTTAATAAAGAATCCAAAAATAGACAATAGAAAAAAGAAAGCATCTTCAACAAATGGTGCTGGTCTAACTAAATGTTAACATGTAGAAGAATACAAATAGATGCATATTTATCACCCCTGCACAAAATTCAAATCCAACTGGATCAAAGACCTGAAAATAAAATCAGATACACTGAACCTGAGAGAAAAGAAGCTGGAATAGCCTTGAACACATTGGCACAGGAAACAACTTACTGGACCGAACACCAATCGTGCGGACACTAAAACAACTAGTAAATAGTAAACAGGATCTCATGAAACTGAAAAGCTTCGGTAAGACAAAGGACACTGTCAATAAGGACAAAACAGCAGCCTACAGAATGGGAAAAGATCTTCACTAACCTCTCATATGACAGAAGGTTAATATCCAAAATATATAAAGAACTCAAGAAACCAAACAATCCAATTAAAAAGTGGGGCGTAGATGTAAATGGGGGAATTCTTATCAGAATCATCTCAAATGGCTGAAAAATCAAGAAATGATCAACATCCTTAGCCATCAGGGAAATGCAAATTGAAATAACCCTGAGATTCCATCTTACAGTCAGAATGGCTAAGACAAAAAACCAAAGTGCCAGCTTATGCTGGAGAGGATGTAGAGCAAGAGGAACATACCTCCAATGCTGATAGAAGTGTAAACTTGTACAGCTAATTTAGAAAGCAATGAGGCCTTAGAAAACTGGGAATCAATCTACCTCAAGACCCAGTTATACCACTCTTTGGCATATTCTCAAAGGACACTCCATCCTACCACAAGTACACTTGCTAAACTATGTTCATAGAAGCTTTACTCATAATAACCAGAACCTGGAAACAAACCTGAATGTCCTTCAGCTGAGGAATGGATAAAGAAAACGTGGTCTGTTTACACAATGGAGTATTACTCATCTATTTAAAACATTATGAGATTTTTAGGTAAGTTGATGGAATTAGAAGAAAAAACTTCCTGAGTGAGGTAGCCCAGACACCCAGAAAGAAAAACACCAGATGTATTCGCTTATAAGTAAATATTAGCTGCTAAGTAATGGATAATCATGCTATAATCCACAGACCCAGAGAGGCTAGGTAACAAGGAGGACCCAAGGGAGGATGCATGGTTCTCCCTGGGAAGGGGAAAGAGAAGAGATGTCCTGGGTGGACTGGGGTGAATGAAGATGAGAGCTTGAGGGATTATGTGGTAGGGTGGGCAGAGGGGGAGAGTCCTGAGGAATATGACTAGGTCGAGGGGATTTATAGAATTGGGTAGAAACCTGATGCAAGGGAAACTTCCAGGAGTCCACAAGGATGGCCCCAGCTAAGACTCCTGGAAGCAGTGGGTACAGAGCCTGAATGGTGATCAGACTGATGACTACCTAGTTTTCAACAGAGAGCCTTCGTTCAGTGAATGATGGAAACAGATTCATAGACCCAAGACCCAGAGATCCAAGGCCAAATATTTGGCCAAACTCAGGGAGACCTGCTGAAGAGAGGGAACAGGGGTTGTAAGAGCCAGGGGGTGTCAGGGACATAGGAGGAAAATCTTCTCTCACTTTTAACTTAGTTACTGTGAACTGAAGAACCTGATTAATATGTAACTGATGTGGAGGTTATGGAATCTTGAAGTCCTGGGCCAATTTTTTGCACAATTTAATAGTCATCTATTAGCCTTCTCTGTATGTGGCCTAACATCTTTTTGATAATTAGATAAATTTTTGGAATCTACAAACCGACACCTAGGTCCCACCAGATGCATTAAAAAGTGTCTTGATTTATAATTTCCTTTTCCTGTCAATATAAAATCTCATGGAACTGTTAACATATGTAAACATGGAACATAGACTGAGTTAAATCAGTGTTTCTGGGCCAGGCTATGATCACTCATACTTGGCTCTGGAATAAATTGTCTCTTACTTCCTTTGAGGTGGGAGTTGTGTATTTATATCAACACTAAGTTTATGAACAAGTTTAAGTCACTCTGTGGTCTGCAGCTGAGCCAGCAGCACGACTAGGCTCAGCTTCTCTACAATAACCTTCTCTACCAATCACTTCGGGAAGTGAAAATAAGGGATTCCAAGATGAATGAGGCTGCAGGTGGGGGCAGTCTTTGCAGGAAAGGTTCCTCCTTCCACATCCCATATCCTTATTCTCAGTTCTGGGGCCAGGTAAGAGTGAAGCATCTCTACTCTGTGATGCCCCTGTTGAGTTTCCTCAATGTAGCTTTAGTCTTACCTGGTTTCTACAGAGCTACCACAGTTCAGTGCAGCCAGAGAACACACTTCACTAAATAGGTGATGTAGGAGTCCCCTCTGTATGCTGTGATTACCATTAATGAATAAAAAAAAACTGGCTTGGCCTGTTGATAGAGCAGAACTTAGGTATACGGGGAAAACTAAGCTGAATGCTGGGAGAAAGAAGGGCAGAGTCAGAGAGACGCCATGGAGCCACTGCTAAAGATAGACATGCTGAAACTTTGCTGGTAGGCCATGACTTCGTGGTGTTATACAGATTAATAGAAATGGGTTAAATTAATATGTAGGAGTTAGCCAATAAGAATCTAGAGCTAATGGGTCAAGCAATGATTTAATTAATACAGTTTCTGTGTGATTATTTTAGGTCTAAGCTTGTCAGGAAACCAACAAGTGGTTCTCTCGTCCAACAGCTTAGGGTCTATGGAACAACTTGAGTCAAGATACAAGACAAATGGATGAAAGTGCACTATGAGTTATATGGTCTAACCTGAACTGTTAACCTAACAACTGCTATAGAATGTCAATAGATTTGTTAGGTCTAACATTAGCTACTAATTGGGTAAGAAGTGTGAAATGTTTCTATGACAAAATATATGATGTTTAACCCACACTGGAGTAATACTGTCAATCACATCCGAAGTTAGAAATTATCACAGGAAGTGAATGAATGAATGAATGTATGCATGAACAAATGAATGTAGACGATGCTTTGCCCTCATGAATTTATACCTTCCCCAAAGTGCCTTCCCTGAGTGAACCTATCCCTGAAGTTCATAGATTCTCTTGTCCTTGAACATGCCTGACTGTCTATCTTAAATCTTCCAAATTAAAGCATGACCAAGTCGTGGCAAAGAAGACTGATCTTTCGAACCTGAGCTGCGAGGCAATTGAGCAATCCCTACCAAACGCACTACTCAGTCCAGGCACCTTCTCTGGTAATGCCTTTTATTCTCTTTGTCTCTTTATTCACATGTCTCACTATGAACACTGTTCAGGGAGGCGGGGAGTGAGAGTTCCTAGAATCAATTTCCACAACACAACTAGAATACTTTTCTTTGTTTCATACTCTTAAATAAACAAATCAGCTGACAATGATGCCTGGATTTTTTATTGATTGGTCATTATAGCAGAATGAATAGAGAAAAAGCCAGATGAGACAACAATAGGGAGTAGCGAACCCGACCCTCCCAGGCTAGATTATCTGCTCAGTGCTTTGAGTGGGAAGCTCTTTCTGTTCCCCTTCACCTTCCCAAGGGGAGCATCCATTAAACAGAAGGTAAGCACAGTGCAAGGCAATCCTGAGCCTAGGCTGTTCACCATCTATGCTAAATGTTTTTAATGCATTATCTTATTTAGGTCTCAAAACAACTTTGCTGGTGGTTTCAGTAGCTAACATTATCCTAAATTTTAGAGATGGCAATCTCAGAGAGATTAAGTAACTTGCCCAAGGTTACACAATTGGGGAAGAGCCTAGAGTAAAACCCGTATCTCTTTGTTCCCAGTGCATTTAACCCAGCTTACAACCACATCAGTTTGTAAGATCTGAGCACACATTTCCATCTTCTCTAATCAATGAGTTCCTTCAGGGAAGAATTTATTGCTCATTAAGATTACATCTCTAAGGCAAAGAGTAATGCCTAATAGAGAACAGAAACTCAGTGACTGTCAAGTAAATAATACGATGAATTAAAAAAATAAAAGATGAAAGGAATTAATTTGAAAAAGAAAGGTTAAAGTCAGAGCCAAAGCTCATTTGATGACATATGACTCTTTTATAAGAAGCACCATTTTTTTGCTATGGAAATAAATAAAATGTTTTCAAAAATTTTCTTTACCCCAGGACTTAAATGAATAATCGAAATTCTATAATCAGAACACGGCACAGCCAACACCAGCATATAATCATATGCTGTCTATAATAAGCTACTTGAGCTTTGCTAATGGCACAAGAAGAAGATATGCTCTTGGCAATATTTAACACAAGTGCTTCAACTGGCTTAGATGGAAAGCAACCCTCATATTTGCATTATATAGATGTTCTGTTTTCTTATCAGTAGGCAAACAGTCTTCTTTGGTACCTTCACATCCTCTGCCATCTTCCTCCAGCTTTTGGCCAGCGTGACATCTGCAGTAATAACTGCCAATCGTATTGCAGCATTGGTCTTGACAGCCACCATTGTCAATAGCGCATTCGTTTATATCTGCAATTAAATAGTTGTATAGAATCAGTCTTTCTAAAGTAAACACACACAAATAAAACCTTCAATGCCTCTCCTAAAATTGATTCACCAATTTGGCATTCCTTCCTCGCCAGATTTTAAGGAGAAAAGGGTATCTAATTTTATTTTATTTTATATTATTTTATTTATTTTGTGTCTACGTGCATGTGCATATGCGTGTGAGTATGCATGTGATTGCAAGCGTGGACATGGCAAAGCATGCTGATGGAGATCAGAGGACAGCCTCGGGTGTCCGCACTTTTGACCCTCTTTGAGACAGGTTCCTTTTGGGGTATGCTATGATAGTCGGCCTTTGAGGTTTTGAGAGCTCCCTTTTCTGTCACATCTTGTCACAAAAGCACTGGAATTGCAGCTGTGCAACTGTACCCAGCTGCGCACGGGTATTTAACCTTAGATTCTCAAGCTTGAGCAGCAAGAGGTTTATCTAGCGAGCCATATCCCAAGCCTGTGCATCTCATTTTCATCAGAGCTAATGTGTCATAGACAAATAGCCACATCCTAATATCAGATAATCCTTGATATCTGTAGTACTATCTTTAAAGAGTTAAATAAGGAGTTTTTAGCGCTATAGATTTGGAGAGTTTATAGGACAGATATAGAAATTCCCTACCAGTCAGCAATTCAATGTGAGATCCAGAACACAGAGAGAAATTACTGTAGTGTGCTGTAGTACCTAGCAGGGGTTGGGGATGAAATAGAACTATAACTTTGTTGAGCCTTCTTCTAAACCCATGGCTAAAAGTCATCTTATTTATAGAATTGAAATCTATGCATTGCTCCTATCCAACTAAGACCTGAGAAATGTTCTAACCTATTTTTAGCTCGACAGTGGCCTGTCTGCTAACATTATTACTCTTGTGTTCATATCAGCATAGTCAGTGTATGCAGAGCTGTTACCTTGAGAGATGCTTGCTCAGGAAGACAAGTGTGGGTAGGAGAGGGCAGGTGGGGAAGGGAGAGCATGAGGGAGCATGGTAAGTAAGGATGGGAGATGGGGTGGGGAGGGAGAAGAGACAATAGGAAAGACGGACCAGTGAGGAATAGCAGAAAGCCATTGTAGGCATCCAACCTGAGGGCTTGTGTGTGCTAGGCTATGCTCTGGTGTGAGCCTATCCACAGAGGAGCAGCACAAGCTTGCTGCGAGGACCAAATACGGTTATTATTCAATAAGCACTCTGTGGAGCTGAAGGCCACAGCTGCTTTGACCTTGAGACACTACAGGCCAGCTTCACTTTTGTATAATGTGTCCAGACAAACTTGGACTGTGAATTTTTCTATGTTTTTGTCTGCCTTCTTTCATTAACCATCCATTTACAGACACACACTTAAGCTGCATGAACTTGTAGTTCACTCTTTCTTGCTGTGTCCTGAATAATGCTGTATTCCAAGGATTTACCAGAATGTTTATTTATCCACTTCACAGATAAAGCACAACTGATTGTTTTTTCTGTTGTGATGACTGGGAAGAATGTTGGCATGAATATTCTCACCTAAGCAAGCCTTCAGTGGACTTACACATGTACTTCCACTGGATGATAGATCTCAACTGAAGTCCCAAGGTCAGATAGTCTGACATCTTCTACTTTAGTGGTTATAACCAAGCAGTCTCCGAAAGAGATTAATCTGACTCATACTCCCACCAGCTGTGTATTGGGGACCAGATGCCACTAATTTTTTCCAGTATTTGGAGTATTCTGTTTCTGATTCAAATCCTCTGGAGATTTTATAATGGCATCATGTTTTGTCTTAATATGCATTTCCTGGTTATTAATTAATTAGGTTAAGCACATTTTCATGTTATTGGCCATTTGGGTGACATTTGTTGAAAAGTTTGTTCAAATAGTTTGTCAATTTGTTTAACTCTTAAAATATTGGTTATTAAAGTTATTGGCCTTAGGGCACAACCTCAAACTAAGGAGATATTTGTAATCGACTTGGTCTCCCTTCAAGCCCTGAAAGAATGGTTTTCTAATAAGCACATCCTTGTAGTGGAAAGGAATCTGTATTTCTACTGGTCCATCCATAAAGATTCATCTCATCGGATTAAGAATGCTGTATTATGAATTATAATTGGTCTTAAGAATAAAAACCCAAAGTCGGATGTTAGGGATATTAGGGGATATTGGGGGTGAAAGCTGGGGTGAGAGATGGAAGAAGCAGAACAACTGCTCACTGGGGATTTCTCACCTCTCCCAATGCTCAGACCAAAGGGGTGATCCTGTCCCTATGAAAACTCAGACCGCATCTACAGACTGCATTTGAGCTCCTGTCTCCTTCTACCTAATATTCTTCTCTCTGTCCAGCCTTATCCCCTCTTGTCTCCACATCCCTTGTGATGGGATTAAAGGTGTGTGTCACTACTATCTAGTCTCTATGGCTAACTAGTGGCTTAGCTCTGCACTCTGATCTTCATGGAAGCTTTATTTGTTAGATTATAAACAAAATATCACTACAGAATGTTCTTATTCCATACATATTTGGTTCATAAACAAGTGTTAAGTCTTATAATTACTGAATATATACAGAAAATTATTTGGTTTCTTTTTAACTATATAAGGTAATAAATGACACCAACTGACTTTGCATCTCTAAAATAAATCTTATCAAGATATTGTACCCCTTTCATATATTTATGATTTCAACTAGGATTTTTAAAACAATTGTTGTGGTTATATTTATAATATGACTGGTATTTTTCTTTTCCTTATAATCCCCCACATTTTTTATAGCACAAGGTTCTTGTACCCACCTCTCATGGGAACGAAAGCAAGTTAAAAATAGTTCTTTTCTTATCATCTTAATAGTTTAGTTTTATTTCTTACTTCAATGTTTGTTTAAGTTCATTCATTATGTCACTTGCAGCATGTGGCTCTTTGTGTAATGTGTGTCAGTATGTGTGTGGACTATGTTGTGTGTTGTGTATGCAATCACTTATGAGCTTAATTAGTTTATTTATTACATATTAAAATATTTGATTATACAGCTTAATGCCTTGGGGTAAATTGTATCTCAAAGAATTTGTCTATTTCAAATAAATTTCTGAATATACTGCTGTTAAGTTTTTCAATATTTCCACACTCTTACATACCCAACCTATCTAATATGTACTTAGCTCTCTACTCTTGTTCCCAGAATCCATTTTGAAGAAGGAATACTGAGTAATGTGTTTGTGTTAGGTTATAATTTTTTTTCTTCTTTATTTTTCTAGAATTGTTTCAAATTTCCTTATATCTTTCTGTTGTCTATAATCTGTTTATGATTCATCTATCTTCTATCATCTATCAGTCTACTTATTTCTCTACCTGGGTAAGTATGTATTTATGTATCTGTTATCTGTCTACCATCATCCATACCTCTATTTAGTCACTGTTCTATTACTGTGAAGAGACGTCATGATCAAGAAATTCCTACCCCCAAAAGGGAAGCATTTAATTGGAAACTTACAGACAGTTTCAGAGGGTTAGTCCTTTATCATCATAGCAGGGATCATGGCAGCATACATGTTTCTGGAGCAAAAGCTGAAAGCTACAGCCTGATCTATAGGCAGCAGACAGAGACAAAGAGACACTGGGCATGGTGTCGGTTTTTGGAATCTAAGAATCCACTTTCAGTACCACACTTCCAACAAGACCATCCCTCCTAATCCTGCCCTGACAACTCATCAACTGGAGACAGGTATTAGCTTGTTCTCGTTCAAACCACCTCATCATCCATTTAACATCTCCATCCCAGCCATTTGTCATTTACCTTGTATTTTCCAATACGAAGGTCTTGGCAATATTCATTTTTCAGTGTCGCTCATTCGTCTTTTCTCTTAATTATCCTCTGCTTTGTCACTACTTTCTTCTTCTTTCTGTGTGCTTCTCTTATTGTTCTAACTTCAGTCATTGTCTTTTAATCTTACTCTAAAACTTATTTCTGTTCACCGATATATGCATGTGACAATCTACCCAACAGTAAGGGATTAAAAAAAACAAACATGTTATTTTCTTTCATGTTTCTGGGGATTGCTAACCCCAATTTGATGGTCCTCCCAAGATGGTCAGTAGAATCAGTTGGCAGTTGAACTTATCCTGTATGTTGGCTGTTCACTCACAAATTGGGAACTTGGAAGAGACTCTAGGACTTCTGGAGAAAGAGAAATAGACTGAGAATGATGAAAAGGAGAAGAAGGAGGAGGAGCAAGAGAGGAAGGATAAGGAATTTTTCCTTTTAGAGAACAGTTTCATGTGTGACTTGGGAGAGAAAGACACTATGGTAGCGTCTGAAGACAGTGTATTGCGCTAAGATGTTTAAGGTAGGGTATAATTTTCCAAAAGCTAAGGTATTGATTATCCCTCACTTGCTTTTGTTCCTCATATTGCATTTTAATAATTGTTCAGCTCAAAACATTTACTAGTATAAATGGACATTTCTTCAGTTTATTCTAAATATATTTTGGGGTCTTTCTTCAAAACCATTGTGAACTTTCTATTGTTTTGTTATAAAATGCTAGATCAATTTCATGGTGCAGTTCATATATATTTAACAAAATCCCAATTCTTCAAAATTTGTTAAATTACTTTAATTCTAGTGCTTCCTCAGTATGGATTTCAAATTATATGTATACGTTTTAAATATGTATAAACATGTATATTTAATTAGTTCAAGCTTGTTACCCAGACTTTTCATATTTTTACATCTCTGAGGATTTTCTCAATCTCTTTATTGGATTTTGTTTGTCTTATTATGATGGAAAGTTTTGTTTTACACAATTTGAAGCTTTATTAACATTTCCACATTCCCATAGCACACATGACCCTTTGTTATAAAACATACCTCTTTAGATCTAGCATCTCTCATTAGAGCTGCCTTTTCTGTTAGATTGTTAGCTGCATCTATTTCCTTTTGATGACTTTTTGCATAAATTTCATGCTCTGAAGTCTACTTTTACACTTCATTATCCAAACATTTTAAAATTT